CTGTCTATTCCCTAAAGTGTTTTTTATGGGTGTGTAGCGTGTCTAGGATCCACTCATTTCAGCAGTGTGTCCTATGGAAATCAATTCTCAACAAAGTTGCTAAGATGAAAAGAAGTATTCGCATTAGGAATTGACACTCCAGTTCTGAGTCTCAGTGGGTCAGCTGATGTACTTAGTTATTTCCTGAGGGGTTTTTGTACTGTATAGGCTTTATGAATGTTCACAATGGCTTCAGTTATAGTCATGGGTGGCTGGGAGCATTTGTCAAAGGTAGCATGACCCTTTCCTTGAGATAATAAGTCAAGAGGGACAAATGAGTCTTATTCTTCACGTGTCAGGGACCTTTGTAAGATTTGGTTTCTTTGTACATGAAAAAAATATATACATTTGAAATGAATAAAAAATCTTTTGTGATTATAATGACAACTAGACACTGATATTTTGAAAAGTAAAGACATTTTTTCACAGAGTAGTATTACATTTGGTGTAAATGTAGTCTATTATTTGTGTGGGTCACTTAGCTTCTAAAAGTCCCAAGTCATCTTTCTATACCTGTCACCTCTGGAATCCAAGGTCAAAATAGGTCCCGATGAATGTGTAGCCACTTGTAATCTGGAAATCTATGTAAAGGAGTTTGTGTTTGTGGCAACAATATACAAATTTTTGAGCTGCAATTATGCTCCATGGATTTCCTCTGGCTTTGAGAGTCAAATGAACGCCCACTTCACCTCATTCAAATCTACTTTCTATGGGTTTGTGGAACCATTTTTTGGCTCTGCTTTGCTCCTTTGTGAATCCAGCCCAAAGGAGCAACATCCAAAGTTCCAAAGACCCATGTGTGGATTGGTCCACGGTCAGCTAGAAAGTGATACGAGGCTAAGCTACTTCACTGGATACAAGCACAGTTTCTTCTGGAATTGCTCAAAACCATGAATCACACACTTCAAAAGCTTATCAAAACTCTTACCAAAACATGCATTAAAAATATTTGCTTGAACTCTATAGAGTAATTTTGTGAAACATGACTGGTGAATAAATCCTTCGATGGATATTGCTTAGCTCACCCATAGATCAAACCCTAGAGGGGATCAGCTATGCAATGTGTAATTAGGGAGGCTCTCATGTTGTGCAGCCAGGGAGCAGAGGCAGTCCATAAAGCCAGATGCAGACTGAACTGCATGAAACAGAGAGGAAAGAGGGAAACCGGCAGGAACGGTCTTGCTGACTTTTTCAGAGTTTACCTAGCCCTTGGGGAGCCCTCAGTCTGAGGACATCAGTCAGAGGAGTATCTGTCTTCCTGGAAAGGGCACCTCTTAGTGCCTGTGCCACCTCAGTCCTCACTGGAGAACAACTGATGGAAATGAAGTATAGGTGGTTGGTGAGTGTCCCTCTCTGCAGCCAGAGATCTGAGGGACTCTGAGTGCCACAGATACAGAAACTGATGATCCGCATCACGTAGACAGGAAAAACAGGACCACGAAAGACAAATTCATACTGTTTCCAGTGGTCTCTGCGGGAGGGATTATGAGCATGCAGGGAGGTCATCTGCCACACTCTCCTTTCTCATCATTTCTGTATTTTAGTGTACATTTTGTGTGTGTGTGTGTGTGTGTGTGTGTGTGTGTGTGTGTGTGTTAATCTGACTTAAAAGTTCTTAAGCAAACCTCCCATTTTTAAAGTCATTATTTTATTTCATAAATTCACTATATCTAGTCGTGTGTGTGTGTGTGTGTGTGTGTGTGTGTGTGTGTGTGTGTGAGAGAGAGAGAGAGAGAGAGAGAGAGAGAGAGAGAGAGAGAGAGAGCGCACACTGCTTCCAGCAAATCTGCATGGTATTTTCTCCTTCTCCATCATCCCCAGCCTTTTCTTCCCCTGATGAGTTTAAACTTCTCTTTGGGGAAAGTCAGAAAACCTTACCATAATCTCTTCATACTTCTATATCTGGCCAATCTTGCTACTAGCTGCTCATACCATTAAAATCAAACAGCCAGCATACACACTCAGTGTGTCCTGGGCTTTTCCCTGGTGTTTTCATTCTCCCATCAGCAGCCTGTGGTCAATGAGGCATATCAAATGAGGTCTGTTGACAGATACTTGAACTGCTTTGAGGAAAACCTGCTCTGCCAGATCACATTCTAAAGCTAAGGGCCATGCTGTAAATTTTTGATATGCCACAAATTTAGGTAGGAAAATAAGTGGGTACATACCATCTTAGTTAGAATTTCTATTGCTGTGGCCAAAACACCATGACCAAAATGCAAGTTGGGAAGGAAAGGGTTTGTTTGGCTTACACTTCCATATTGCTGTTCATCGTTGAAGGAACTCAAGACAGGAACTCAACAAGACAGGAACCTGGAGGCAGGAGCTGATGCAGAGGCCATGGAAGGGTGCTACTTACTGGTTTGTTCAACCTGCTTTCTTATAGAACCCAAAATCATCAGCTCAGGGATGGCACCACCCACAAAGGGCTGGGCCCTCCTCCAAGAATCACTAAGAAAATGCCCTATAGATGGATCTTATGGAGGCATTTTCTCAATTGAGGTTCCCTCCTTTCAGATAACTCTACCTTGTGTCAAGTTGACATAAGACTAGCCAGCACACATACATACACAAAATACTTATGTATGTACACACATGCATACATGCATACATACCACTTTACAGTCAAGGAAACAAGGTACATGGTGACTTCATGATCCTCAGAAAAGGAAATTCTCCTCATGGACCACTTGCTACTGTTTCTGCCCATATCCTTAGAAGGCTAGAAGGGGCATTGGTTTTCAATGTACTTTCCTTATTCATGATTACATGCATGGTAAGATATCAATCTAGAGATGACTTCAGAATGATTGCTTAGTGGTTAAGAGCACATACTATTCTTTCAGAGGACCTGGATTTGGTTTCCTGCACCCTCATCAAGTTTCTCTCTCTCTTACACACACACACACACACACACACACACACACACACACACACACACACACCTGTAACTCCAGCTCCAGGAAATATGATGCCCTTTTCTGGATCCCACATGTAGTTTCACTCATACATGCACATACCACACTCAGACAAACACATGTACACATAATTAATAATAAAATAATCAATCATCAGTAAATGATCATTAATTGCCAAGCTCTTTGTGTGTGAAATCAACAGAGGTGATTCATAGAAAAGATGCAGAGAGAACAGGATTGGGAAATCAGCTGTAAAGGAATGGCTGATGCAGCCAGCAGACCATGGTCGAGCTGCCAGCATCTGCAGAAGCATGTCATTCTGGCAAGCCCTGCAGGTAATGCCAAAGCCAGAGCTCAAAAGCTGTTAAGTTACAATGAAGAATAGAGGTACTCTGGCCTGATGGTGTATTCCCAGCTAAAAGGGAAGTAGAGGCAGGGGGATTACAAGTCTAAGGTCTATGAATTAGTTACTTTTCCCTTTGCTGCGACCAAATACCCAACAAGTAGCACCATAAGGGAGGAAGGGGTTATTCCTGTTAGAAGACATAGAGACTGTCCCAGTGGCAGGAGCTTGAGGCAGTGGATCACTCTGCATTTGCAACCCAGAAGCTGAGAGAGATGCATGTTCATGCCAAGGTCCTTTTCTCCTTCCTGTGCAGTCCTGGACTCACAGCCACTGAATGGTGTTTCCCAGATTTAGAGTGGGTCTTCCCACCTCAGTGAACTCAGTCTAGATGCTCCCTCACAGACATGCACAGAATTACTGTTTCCACGGGAATTCTAAATCCCACCCAGCTGACAATGAATAACCCAGCCTGCTTTGGCTACAAAATGAGTTTCAAGGCCAGATTGGGCAGCTTCTTAGGATCCCATCTCAAAATTAAATTAAATTAAACAAATTTAAAAAGGACTAGAGATATGCTAGATGAGCACTCAATAGTGGAGTACATACTTAGTATGTGTGAGACCCTATGTTCCTGGAGAGTCAATATAAGGAAGAATGCGAATGTAGCAACAAGCAGGAAGCTGGGGCCTGGAGAAGCCTAGCAGTGTGCAAAAGCCTGCACGGATTCTGGTGTCACTGGGGAAGATGTGGATTGACCAGTGGAGAGCAGAGACGTTGGCTGAGTCAGCCAAGCTAGAGCTGGCCAAGAGGGCCTGGGCAAATGAAAGGCCACTTTCTGAAAGGCTTGATGAAACCCTGATGCTGTGAAATTCTGGGTTCTAGAGTGGGCAGAGGGTCTTCAGAGGAGAAGACTGGACCCAGGGAAGAAGGTTGAACTGGGCTAGCAGAGGATGTGCTGCTTGGGTTAGACCCCAGCACATGGCCCATGCCGGGATTTTTGTAGAAAGCTTCGCAGCCGACTGAAGCTGCAAGGCTGCGGAGGAATTATTTTCAGGCCATGTGACTCAGGCAGGCTCTCCCGGAAGTCCTCATATTCACATGGGTGACTTCTCCCAGAGGGACTTAAAGAAAATTCAAGAGGTCCCTTTCCCCTGCGAGTGTCCCTTCTGCATTCTGCTGAGGGAGCTTAACCTTGTGCTCACTTTATGCTCACTTTAAAGGAAAGGCTGAAAGGAATCACGGGGTTTATGACGCAACATACTAGCAAGCATATGCTCAAAGCAGAGGAGCAGTACATTAACCGAATCTAGAATCACAGCCGAGAGACTGGCACACAGCGAGCATTCATTTGTTATTAGCACTTCCCTTTGCTAAAAGAGTTGCTCTTGTGCCTGGGGTGGAACAATAACTCAATATGTGTGTACAATATGTAATAATCCAATTGAGATAGTTAGCATCCCCACCTCCTCAAACATTCGTCATGCGCTCAATTATTGAAACCCAAATACTTGCCTTTTTTTCTTAAGTGAATCTGGATATGTCTAAACATGTTGGAGTGCATTTAAAAATTGGGTGGCTGTGTTAATATTTGTGCCATTTACTCTTGAACTCTGTTTAACTGAATGCAAAGTTGAGAGAGTCCACGTGTAACATATTCTAATGTCTATTTCATGTTTCTCTCATTTGTATTTTTCCAGGTCTTATACAACATACTAATTGCCTTCACTAAGATGCATAAATTTGAGGACATAGAACCTGTGGACATTTTGGCCGGCTGTGCCAGATTCGTCATCGTGGGGTGTGGGGGAGTATTTTTCGGCATCATTTTTGGATTCATTTCTGCATTTATCACACGCTTCACTCAGAATATCTCTGCAATTGAACCACTCATCGTTTTCATGTTCAGCTATCTGTCTTACTTAGCAGCTGAGACACTTTATCTCTCTGGCATCCTGGCGTGAGTACAATTGATGGATGGAGTCCCATGGGAATATATGGACAATTTAAGAGCTGTATGGCCTATGCATTTGGGAAAGGCCTGAAGCTAGTCCCCCGAGGCATGCCAGGGTTGAGGATTTCTTAACTTTCTGAAAACTGATTCTGGTCCTTTGCCAAACAAATGTTCTCTGCGACATTTGCCTGAGGAAAGTCTAGCAAACAGAATGTCAGTTTAAAATGTTCAGGAACGCTGGCTCGAAGAAGAGCTGGGAACGGTTCAAGCTTAAAGTCCATCTGAACAGTTTCTTTTCTTCCTCAAAAATTCATTTTAAAGCCAGGCATGGTGGTGCACACCTTTACTCCCAGCACTCAGTAGGCAGAGGCAGGTGGAGCTCTGTGAGTTCCAGCCTGATCCAAATAGCAAGTTTCAGGACAGCCGGGAGAGACCCTGTCTCAAAAAAAAGATAGTCATGATAATAATAATAATAATAATAATAATAATAATAATAATAATAATAACAATATTTTTGAAGTAGAAAGAAGGCCATGAGGAACTTCCATTCTGGGCTCTGTTTGTTGTTATTCTGCTCCAACCCCATCATAACTCACACTCCCCTCAGGAGAGAATAAAGCTGGGTTCATGGTGTTCAACCTCATATCCTTGTAACTTTGAAAGTTTTTCCTAGAATGAGGCTTCTCAGTTTGGCTTATTAGCTCTGGTCACTATCCAGGCAGAAAGTTTTAATTGTATTATATAGAAATCCATATGCCAATTAAATATAGTAATATGGACTTTAGGTACCATTATTTTCCTTCCTTAAAATGACCACAATTGCTACGACAAGAAAAGGGCCTTCTTTCTGCCATCCAAGGTAAATGGCTCCAGAAAAGAAAAACTTGAAATATTTCAATAACATGGTTGTAAGAAATACCACTTGGGAGCTGGATGGAGTATTATGTCAGGACAGCACTCAGGAGACAGAGGCAAAAAAAAAAAATTGATTAAAAAAGAGAGCATACTAAGCACTCTATCTGTTGAGCTGAATTAATTTGGTTTAAGGCAAAGTCAAGTATCCTCTAGCCAGAGTTAGGGCTCTGTGAGGAAAGAAAGGTCCAAATGCATTTTGCTTCTGATTTTCTTGAGTGAATGACATGTCAGTGTGTGTGCGCGCGTGCGTGCGTGCGTGCGTGCGTGCGTGAGTGCGTGAGTGCGTGCGTGCGTGCGTGCGTGCGTGCATGCATGTGTGTGTGTGTGTGCGCACGTGCACGCATGTGTTTGGTGTGAAGGCTATGTCACACCCACCTTTCCACTCCACTTGCTTTTTCCTGTACCTTATTGAAGAGGAAGGGACCAAATCTGTGCTCCACAGCCAGAGATGGACGGGTCCCCAGACTCGGGATGAGACACTGATTTTGGACAGAGGTGGGCTTCCACTCTATACAGCCTTGTTTTGCTCCGGGCAGGCAACCTTGGTGGTGTGACAAACGCTGTGTCTACCTGAGCCTCTGCTTCTTCTCTAGAATCACGGCTTGTGCGGTGACGATGAAAAAGTATGTGGAAGAGAACGTGTCCCAGACGTCCTATACGACCATCAAGTACTTCATGAAGATGCTGAGCAGCGTCAGCGAGACCTTGATCTTCATCTTCATGGGCGTGTCCACCGTTGGGAAGAACCACGAGTGGAACTGGGCGTTCATTTGCTTCACGCTGGTCTTCTGCCAGATCTGGAGAGCCATCAGTAAGAGACACCAGGGCTCCAACACTCTCCTGCCCAGCTTCCCACCCCAGCTTCCTTTTCCCTGTGTTGAGCCAGGAGGGAACCGATGCTAACTGCTTCTCTTGCGCAGGGGCATGCAGACAGCTCCTCCTTACTGACCAGAAACAGTTTATTGCCCTCCTCAGTCGACTCAGAGCCACCAGCTGACTAGAGGTTCTCCTCAGAAGTGAGGATGGAGCAGGGAGTATTTTGTGTTTTGATAAGAGAGAGAGAGAAAGCACTTTCACATCTACACATTTAAAAATAGCTCAATAAACATATGTGTTGCTCCACTTCCCTGCCAGTTGGTAGCCTCTTCCATGTTAACTCAGATATAGATTATAAACTGCGGGTATTTACGCTTCTGATACAGGACAAGTGAGATCTTACAAACTGCACTCTATGTAAGGCAAACACTGTCAGGAAGCCTTGGCATAAACAGTATGGCTGGCCAAAGGGACAAGGGGGTGATGAATATACAGCCAGCAAACGATCAAGGAGGGAATTATTATTTTTAAGGTGCTCATTTTGGGGGACTGGGGAGATTGTTCAGTCAAGTAATGTTCTTGCTGCACTACAGTGAGGGCCCCATCCTCAAAACCAGGAATTGCTACCCATCCTGGGATTCCAGTGCTGGGGAGAGGGAGGCAGGAAGATCCCTGAGGCTTGTTTGTGGTCAGCCAGTCCAACCATTCGGTGAGTTTCAGTTTCAGAAAAAGCCTCTATCTCAAAAATGAGGCAAAGAAGAGATTAAGGAAGGCAATGACCTCTACCCACTCTGGCTCTGTGTACAAACACAGCACACACACACACACACACACACACACACACACACACACACACGAACAGAGAGAGAGGGTGACCACTCTTAATTATCACATTAATTAGTAAAGAGAGCAATACTATAAATAACCTGACTTCTGGAAAAAATTCCCATTATAAGGAAAAAGATCCAATGACTGCTATGCACTCCTATTTCAGGAGCTAGAAAAGAACATTAGCACTGAGCTGAAATATATATGCTGCCCTTTTATGGAATAGTAAATATGATTCTACAAAAGGAGCAGAGGCTGAGATCAAAACAAGTATTTACTACACAAACGAAGCAAGGTTGTACGCATAGGAAGCCCATCTCTAATATATATTATATATAATATATTTGAGATAAGATCTTACTGTGTAGCCCGGGCTACCCTAAAACTCATTATATAAATCAGGTTGACTTCAAACTCATGGAGGTTAACCTATTGATAATGTGCTGAGTTCTGGAGTTAAAGCAAGTTGTGTACCACCAGACCCATAGGAATATGTGTGTGTGTGTGTGTGTGTGTGTGTGTGTGTGAGAGAGAGAGAGAGAGACAGAGACAGAGACAGAGACAGAGAGAGATTCTTATAGAAATTATATTTTAAACAATGTAGCCAATTGTTTTCAGCCAATTTTTAATATATATGCATTAAAATTAATTTATGATAGCTTTGAGGATGCAAAAATGAATGACAAGAGGGGTGGGATGGCTCAGCTGTTAAGAGCACTGTCTACTCTTCCAGAGGACCTGGGTTTGAATCCCAGCACCCACATGATAGCTCACAGCCATCTGTAACTCCAGTGCCAGGTGATCCAGTGCTCTGTGGACACTGCACACGTGTTTTGCGCATACACGTGTATATGGGAGAAAACACTTATAAACATAAGATAAAATAAATATTAATTTTTTAAATGACAAGAATATAGAAATATTAAAATAGTAATAAGAGTAGCTAATATATGCTAATTTTTGGTGGAAAAATCAAAGCTGTTGTGATATAAACTGAAAATATCACATCAAATTTTGGTGTGATTTCTGACTCACTATTTGGAGCTGGACAGACATTTATCTATTTAAAGTCTTGCTCCTCAGCCTAAAAATAACAGGTTTGGATAAAAATTACCAATCTCTTCCTGTTATGATATTCAACAGATCTACAGGGAATCAGTACTAATGTCAAGAGAAGTGAAATGAGAAAAATTCAACCAAGCAAACAGGAAAATGAGCCATCTGGATAGAGGGGTTCTGTTACCCTTAGTGATTATCCAGTCCCTCACCACAGTCCTTTAACTGAGAGAATTCATGGACCACTGTTGAGAGAGTGCCTGGCTTGGGCAGGTCACCATGACTAAGAGCAAGTGTGAGAAAACAGATCATTGCCTACTCTCTCCATTCAAACTCATTGTCTCTAACCATAGCTAATGACTATGAAGGCTTATGGATATGAGGCAATGTTCTCTGTTATTTACGAGAATAGTGTTTGTTTAACTTTTCATCACCCTACTTAGGTAAGTACACTTGTTTTTCTGTGTCTGTGGGCTCTGCAGGTGTGATTTCAACCAATCACAAAACAATAATTTTGTGGAAAGAAAACACATCTGTATTGCACCTGTGCAGACTTTATTTCTTGTTATCATTTCCTGAACAATATAGCAGCCATGCTGTAAACAATCTAGAGACAGCTCCAAGTATCCAAGAGAATGTGTACAGGCTAGACCCAAATTCTTCATGCAATAGAAACAGACTTGGACATTCATGGACATGGGCATCTGTGAGAAATTGAGGGTTGACTGTGCTTTGTCTCTGGTATCTGATGATATGGGATGATGTGAAATTTTGCCCAAGGTCACATGACTAGCAGTTAAAGAGAAGCTCAGAGAGACCCCCCCTAAATAAAACAAACAAACAAACACACAAACAAAAAACACATGAATTCTGTTATCCCTTGTAGTCTAATATGCCTGATAGGAAACATGCTTTCTGGGATAGGAGCCCATGGGGACCTAAAGAGATGATACTTTTGGAAGGTCCACTCAAAGCTTTAGCACGGGAACCTTTCTTGCCCAGAACCAGTATGTCAGTGGTGGCTTTCATGTGGCACAAATAGCCAGGGCGAATCCGGATAGTGAAAAACACTTCTGTACTTTGCACAAGCTCCCTGCCTTCCACCCTCCTTTAATTACTACACAGAAGGACAGTAAGAAGTATCCCATGCCCATCTCCAACCCCAAACCCCTGCAAACTTTCTTGTTTGTTTACATGAACCTCAAGCACCAGGTCATCCAGAACGGATCTGCCCATCATGTACTGTCCACAGTCACTTATCTCCCTCACATTCAAACTACAGACCTCTTGGAGGTATCTCCGGAGAACACGAGATAAGAGCTTTTTATTCCACAGACATCCTTTCTTTAATTGGTTTTGAAAGGCACCACAAGTGTGGATAAAGTTTAGAAATATATACCCCATATTTATTTTAAATCAAGATTTTTTATTATTTTAAACACACACACACACACACACACACACACACACACACACACACACACGTACACACATACAAAATGCTTGGGCTGGGAAAACCTCTAACTGGAGGAACCAAAATATCCCACAAATGTAAAGCCTTAGGAGAGGGTCTGATTGAGATGAGTGATCTTGGGTGTGATAGAATCGGGCTACCTTGCTTAGTCTCTGCGTCGTGACCACTCCTGTCCCGCTGCCTGCTCTAATACGTATCTCCCCCTTTCCAGGCGTATTTGCTCTCTTCTATGTCAGTAACCAGTTTCGGACTTTTCCCTTCTCCATCAAGGACCAGTTCATAATCTTCTACAGTGGCGTGAGAGGCGCTGGAAGCTTTTCCCTTGCATTTTTGCTTCCTCTGTCCCTTTTTCCTAGGAAGAAATTATTTATTACTGCTACTTTAGTAGTTACATACTTTACTGTATTTTTTCAGGTTGGTAGACTTCTTTCATATTTAAATTATGTACATCTTTCACAGCTACATATTAAATTCGTAAGATGTAAATAAAGATGCTATATCTGGTGTTTAGAATTCCGATTCATCCTCTAAAATAGAGTCTAAATAGATTCTAACTTACTTAGAGGCTATGTTCATGGTAAAGCTTTAACTTCTGAAATACATTGTCTTTGAGTCAATCCAACATAGTGATAAAAATATTCCCAGGTGAGATGTGAACAACTGTTACTCTGTTTATCTTGGAAAATGTGACAGCAACTGGTACTCGCTAACACAATGTTTTGTTTTAGCGGAAGTTAGGTATTAATGAGGCAATGAAGCTTTATTTTTAAAGACATCAAGATATTGTATTAACATAGATTATAACATATATTTTGTTGGTGTGTATAGAAGAACTAAGAATTAAAGTAAGTTTGATGCATTTAATCCCATAGAAAATAGAAACAAGCACATACAGATTGGGCATTTTATAGTTTTGATGATAAAATGGTTCTCTATAGTCACAGTATTCACCTCAGGAAAACCCTTTATTTTTTTTTTATTTATGACTCAGGGAATCACAATTGGTCCACTGGTCAGGTACCTGGATGTCAGAAAGACCAATAAAAAAGAATCCATCAATGAAGAGCTTCACATCCGGGTAAGTCAATCCTGTCCTTTCTAATGAATGAATAAAATGCTTCCCATATATCACTTTTGATAGTCATCTAGAGCTTCCAGGAGACTGTGTACATGTCAGGAGACTCGTAGACCCCTTTCCTTCCAGCTCCACTAAAAAGGACTGGACTTGTTTGCTATTGCTGCCTCAGGGAATTAATACAACTGTGGTGGCTTCTATCAAAGCAAGTGTGTTACCTTAGAGTTTTGGAGGAAGACAGTTGGAAATGGGTCCCACTAGTGGAGTTCAGTGCAATATCCCCTTCCAGGGGCTCTAGGGAAGGATCTCTTTGTCTCCTTCAGCCTCTATCAGCTTCCTACATTGTTGTGGTCACAGAGTGGAAGCTAGGGTCCTGCACATGGTAGGTAAATACTGTGTCACTGAACTGTGTCCCCAGCCCAACGCCTGGCATTCTTAACTAGAGAATCCTAAAATGCTTCTGATTTCAAGGTCTTTCAGCTGATCTAGTCAGGTCTCTTGGATTGTCTAGGATCCTTCTCCTGTTTAAAGCAACTGACGGTAAGCTCTACCTGCATCCACAGAATACAATCATAGCAACATACAAATTATCACTTGATTGGATAACTGAGGATTTGCCTAATCAAGTTAACACCTCAGAAGGATGTCACACTGACTAACATTCAGTGTGGTCCTAGTGGCTGCTGAAGTAATTGTTTCATAAGAATATGGCTTCTACTTGTCTGCTTGAGTTCAGCATGGTATCTAAACTATGACATTCAGAATGACTCCCTTGAATAGAAACAAGAACTAGTGTGTGAAAGACATACGGGCACACCCTAGCATGCACACACCCATGCACTCATCCATGCACAAACTCATGCACACACACTCATGTACATACCCATGCACATACCCACGCACACTCAATGCACACATGTACAAACCCATGCGTACCTGCATGATCACACAAGCACACACAAAGTCTCCACCAAAATGGCTATGTACAAGTAACAACTGAGAAGCCCTGGCATCATAGCTGCTCCAGAGACTCAAGCTAAGTAGGATAACTTGACTAGAACCTTTTGTTTGTTTTAGTTTTACACCAAAGGAATCATATTTCTGATCAGTTTAATGCTGTAGAGATGCATGGAATCTTCATATGTTAGCCTTGAATTTCATACAAATAGATACCAGATGAAATAAAGTCATTTAAATTCCAGGAAATCAAAATAAAAAATTGCAAAATTATTTGAGAATATTTAACAGATTAGAAGACAGAATGTTAAAAAGCTATGTTAGTACCTTAAACTGATTGTACATTTTTGTCTTTACCCTTATCACCTTATTAAGAGAAATCAGCAACCTTCTTTAAATGGAAATTCAGTATTTCACCTCTTCCTCATTTATTTTTCCTTCTTACAAAGTTATGACTAAGGCCAACTCTGGAGGTTCAAGTCTTTGATCTAACACTTGAGGACCAGAGGCAGATGGATCTCTGTGAGTTTGAGGCCAGCCTGATCTACACAGAGAGACTCTGTCTCAAAAAATAAACGTTATGACTATCATTAGAAGACAGTAGATCAATTAAGGGTTTAAGTAATAATTTTGCATTTTTAATTTTTTTCAAAATAAAACAAACCATCATAAACATGCATAATTTTTAATTTGAATTATTTATAGACCTATTCATAGGATTTTAAGATTATATCTCCTCCAAAATTCTTATAAATCGTTATGAACAGAACAAACATAGTATAATTGACTTGTGTGTTGAACTGTAAATTCTGGGACTAAAGGATTTAATTTTAAAATGAAAATGAAGATCATATATTGGTTTATAAGTATAAAGATTGGGTGTTTATGCCCTTATCTCCCTCACTACCTGTCTCATGTGGAAAAAATGAAGACTGTGGACAAGTGTGCTTATTATTATAGTGGAATGTCTGAAGAATTCTATTTGGGAAACTATGCAAATTAGACATTCGATTTTCTTTTCACAACGAAGTAAAAGTAATACCTAATCATTATACTTTGCATCCATATGATTTCAATAATGAGAAATTTCTAGATCTTCCTAGAAAAGTATTATTCAAAACAAGTGCCAGGTATACTATTTTCACTCTATTTTATGGAAATTATCAAGATGTTTATCTTCAGAATCTTTCAATCACAAAGGGAAGGAATTACTATGAAAAGCATGTCATATTCTAGTGACATGACCAGAGTGCTAGGAAAGAGGTTATGTTTAAGTAAATTAAAGCCTTCCTTAGTTTCCAAAGCCTATAGTTTGTATGTGTATGTGTGTGCCTTTCAGAGTTCATATTTTACTAACATTTAATCTTCTCATGTTTGGTTTGGCAGCTGATGGATCATCTAAAGGCTGGGATTGAAGATGTGTGTGGGCAATGGAGTCACTACCAAGTGAGAGACAAGTAAGTAGGTTAGGGTTTCATTGCCTAACAATGGCTCCTTGAGGAAGAGGGAGCCAGGAAGATGAAGGACCAGAGTTGTACTATACAAGAAACACGCCTAGAATGGAAGATGAGAAGTGTTAGGACAGAGCTGTGGAGGTGGGGCAGGTTGCTTTGAAGAGGAATAGCACAAGTAGTCAATGAAAAGTAGAGAGTCATACTTAAGTTGGAGACAAAGACAACACCCCCATCCTCCTGACAACAGTAGCTCAACCATGTGATAATCAACTTCATGAAGTTGTGGAGGCATTCAGTGACTCATTAAGGGCTTGGAAAAATCCCAGTTGGAGACCTCTAAAAGTCATTCATATACAGCAATTCTTCTGAGAAGCCCAGAGCCTTCTTGCTCACCACATCCCACATTTCTGAATGGATTCTTTTAATCTCAACTGGAGGAATGTGGCTGGAGACAGATGGTATGGCATCATCAAGTAGTTAGCAGCTACATCGTGGGCATGTGTGGGATCTTATCAAAGGTGTGAAGAGGAAACAAACTGAACACAGGACTCAGAACTCCCTAGCTAGTGGAGCTGATGAGAAAGTGCAAGAGCAGATGAAGCCAGGGAGAAGTGACCAGAGAGGAAGGGAGTGAGGCAGGAGAGAACCAACATGGAAGGAATGACCTGGTATATCAAGAGACCTAAGTGGCTAACAGGGTCAGGGCAATGGCAGCCACATGAGTTGACAAGTTCAAGTCAAGATGGACTCAGCATCTTGAAATGTCAAATGCATTGTGAAGATAGGTTGTGGGGGAAGCTGATTACAATGGGTTGAGGAGAAATCACAGCATCTCATAACAAAGGGCAAAAGGCCAAGTGGTGATCTACTTTAAAAGAACAGGTGGGTCAAAGCCAAAAAGATGACAAAGCTCTGGAGGTCAGTCTGCCATACACAAAGAGGACTTAACTGTTGGTGTCTGTCAACCTCACCAACCAGGGAAACAAACACTAGACAATAAGCCAACATTCCAGGAAGTTATGTTCCCTATCAAAAAACAAAGCAGGCAGAAAACCACTCTTTGAATGTGAAATGATTAGAAGCATTGAAAATTGTGACTCCAGACAAGCTCCCAAGACATCATTGCATGTGTGCAGCTTAGGCTAATGGGTCGACCAGATGTTCGCAACAGTAGTCAGCTAGCTCTCCTTTATTAAGATTGTTGGGATGTTTGGTGGGGGCAGGGAGCAGTTCTTTTCCTTAGTTGGCAAGATTCAAAGTGATCTGCAACACAATGAGGCAAAACTACCCTAACTGGCAGCCAATTTAAACTTACTGGGTTCTGGCTGAATAGACCTATATTACTGTAAGTGAAGCAGCTGCTGTTCGGAGCCTTTAGGAAACAATGCTTGTTCAAAAGCCTCAGCCACTTCAATTCTGTTCTTACAGTTAGAGCTGAGTAGGGCTAGGCCCCCGCCCCCCGGGGACCTCCTCTTATGTGTACTTTCCACCCTAATTGCACCTTTTTTCTGTCTTTTTGTTTAGTTGATTTCATTGTATTCAAGCCACTAGGCCACTCTTTTTTATTAAAAACAAAACAAAACATAAATACTATGTTTTTTTTTTTTCGAGACAGGGTTTCTCTGTACAATGTGTTCAAATGTGATGCATTTTAGGCACCTGGTGTTCTTCAGAATGGAGTTCAGCTGTAATTTGTTTAAAGAAAAATCTGTGCTTCCACAATACCGATGGAGATGTTGGTTTTAATGTTTAGGTTCAAGAAGTTTGATCATAGATACTTACGGAAAATCCTAATCCGGAGGAACCTGCCGAAATCAAGCATCGTTTCTTTGTATAAGAAGCTTGAGATGAAACAGGCCATTGAGATGGTAGAGACCGGAATACTGACCTCAGCAGCTTTCCCCACACCTTATCGGTGAGTTCTGTCTGCTTTTTGATCTAGACCAGTGTTTCTCAACCTTCCTAATGGGGAGACCCTCTAATACGGTTCCTCTCGTTGTGGTGACCCCCAACCACAAAAATATTTTGTTGCTACTTCATAACTGTAATTTTGCTACTGTTATGAATTGTAATGTAAACATCCGTTATGTGACCCACACGGGGCTTGCAACCCACACATTGATCTAAACTTTCAATAACTGAATTTCAGGGCTAAGTCACGGCTCCATTTGAAAGAAGTAGCAGAAGGGAAGAGGCGGAAAGATGAGTGTGGCAATTAACATCCTGAACTGTAACAAACACTTGAAGATGGGGAAAAGTTTATCGGGGCTCACAGTAGGAGGCAAGTGGTTCAGTCCATGACTGGTTGGTGCTTTGGGGCCTGAGGTGAGGTGGCATATTATGGTCACCATTATGGCAAAGCATTCACCTCATGGAGGAGAAGCTGGACGTTCCAATGTCTCACTCAACAGCAGGTCCCCGAAGGCCTGAAGCCTTCCCCACTGGATACCATCTCATAGAGGTCCCCCATCTATAGAGGTGCTGTGTTCTGAGAACCAAACAATTATAACATGGGCTTCAGCTTTGAGGAAAGAATCATGGAATAATTTTGAGCTTTACTTCAGGCTTGACATGTTTCACCAGTGTGGGGGAATTGCTTTTTAACCCAGTTGCCTTCTTTACGTTATATGCCATCTTCCAAGCAAAGACATAGAATGGCAGGATTATTTTATAACATTTTTCTCCTTGGTTAAAAACATCTCTCCTACAAGCTCTGTTCACTTGGTTCTGTTCTTTCTCCTGTTGTATTTTGTGCAAACTGTGTTTCTCTTCCTATCTTCCATGGAGAGAGATATTAGGTGTCTGGGATGCCGACTTGGATTTGGGAGGCCCTCCTTTGTCACTATAATGAAATATATGAAGTAGGTTACTTGTGAAAGTACAAGGAGGTTAGGTAGGGCTCAGAGTTCTGGGGTTCAAGGCTAAAATCAAGTCTATGGTTCTTTGATAACAACAGAGTAGGAGAGGCATGCACCCTAGTGAAGGTGCATATTCTTAATCAAGGAGAGAAAGGAAGGATTAAGATGAGTCCTATAATCCCCATTTGAGATGACACTTCCAATGACCTAGAAACTTTCCCCTAGAATACACCATTCAAAAGCCCACAGAGACTTCCCAAGACTGCCACTGGAGACCAAGCTCTTACACATGGATCTCTGAGAAGGACTTCATCTAAACCAAGGCAGGGAGGAGATGAGGTATTAGTAAGAGGTGTGGTAGCCTATGGCTCTTTAAAGTTAAAGAGGGGTTTGCAATAGAAAGAGTGTATATGAGATTGTGAGATGTGTTGCAAATCCCTGAGACCAGCTTGGAACGGGACCAGAATGCTGGCTGGCTCCTAGGTGAAGAGAAGACTATACAGATTCAGTGTGGAGGCAAGGCATGGGGAGAGGCCTTATTTGGTGTGTGTCTTCCACCATCTGGTAACCAATTGTCCCCAGAGCTAGATAGATATTTTTAAAAACTGTTTTAATGGTCTGACATTTTACAGAAGCTTCCTTAGTATTTCAAGAATTAACTCCCAAAGACACCCAGCTTTCTTCTAAGCGATGGCTTATAGGTTGCAAAAATTAATCACAGCATATATTTAGGGAAAGGACATGCCAGCTTCTCCATGCTGTCATCGTCTTCAGATAATGGCACTTGATCATGAGCTTCAATTATGTCCTCACATCAGGGAAGCGAGTTGAGAACAGAGCTAAGAATAGGTACCAATAAAATTGGCACAAACTGGCTGAGTGTTATTTCACAGGTGACACCTCCCCCCCCCCTCGACCTGCTAATGAATCAGAAACACCAGCACCTTCTTCCATGACCCAGGAAGATGTAAACAAGTGTCCCTAAAGTCACTCAGTCTAAACAGAAAGCTTTGTGCCTTGTTTATCCCTGGGATTGTTTCAGTGGCCTGTTTGTCTGTGTTGCACTGCCCATTATGCAACTAAAAGGAGACGCCCAGTGCTAAAATGGGAATGTGCTATCAAATATTTATTGGCAATGGTGTCCAGAGCCACAGTGGAGCCAGAGGTGGCTGGAAAAACCAGGAATGCTGATTCTGTTTTCATTCAACATGTTCGTATTTTATCCATCGAAGTTTCTCTCCTTGTGTTTCATTTCACTTTTTAAAACAATGCATGCAAATCTTACTTTTGTCCAAGGTTTCTGGCTATCCCTTACACTATGTGCCTTAGCTCATGTCCTGCTTGCTTGGGCACCTAGTGCGTGTGTCCTAAACACACTGTGAAGACAGACATAAGTGCTGCACTTCCAGATTCCAAACATGGACAAGCCATCCCATTAATATAAGAGATCACACAGTGCCGTATAATAAAGAATAGGAATCAATGTGACTGTAGGAGCAGTGTGTCACATGTGACCTCCTGCTGTGTGGCCTACTCATCAAAGAATGAATTGCAGTTAATGCAGAGATAGAGGAGGGCTGGACAGTTGTAGACAGAAACTACCTCCATCAGTTTGCTTGATACTTGTGAGCACTTGGTCTAGGAATGTGAGGGTGTTTATCTCTTATCTCAGACTAGAATCTCATCTATGTTTCAGTCTATTGGTCTAAAACGTATTTTGAACTTCTGTATAACATCACAATGTATTATTAGCCATAAGCAACTGCTTCAAATCTGACCACAAGGCAATTTTTAAACCAGTTTTATTTGGCACACTTCCCTGTTCACTTTGAGTCAATCATTTCTTCAGACATTGATTCAAGATTCCTAAGAGGCTTACAGGTAAGGGGTTTTTCCACCTCATATAGCCCTGTCAAGTAAGTTAACTGGAGTGAGAAAGATTTTTGTTAAAGCTGATGTTTAATACATTTTTAGTATTTAACTTAACATTTATTTGATCTTGCTGGAAATCTGTAGGACACCAAGACAAAAGGAATTCCTCTCCTAAGATCAAAGCAGCCAATTTTTTAAAACAAAACAAAACAAAATGCAAACCAAACCTTCATACAATAATAGGAAAAAGAACTGTGTACTCAGGTGCCTCTTAGCATTCAGTATGAGACAATAACAGCCAAATGCACATATAGTTCTGCTTTATGACTTTAAGCATTTGTTATACAACAGTTTAATTTCCAAATTCTTGGGCCTTTAGAAGAAGGTTACTGCCAGGGCTGACTCCCGTACAGCTGGGAGGACGTTGGAACTGTGGGATCCCATTGCTTTCCTCACGGCATAATATTTCCTAGTAGTACCTATTTGAATCCCCAGACCATCCTATGGGAGAGCTGGGATACGCATTTCTACTGTTATTTCAAATGTAGAGCGGTTCCTCTCGCACGGGACGGGTAGTCTGTTAGACATTATAAACAGATACTGACTCTGATAAGTGTTGAAATGAAGCTTATGGGCTTGTGTGATGGCTCTGGGGATGAAGGCACCTACTGCCAAGCCTAACAGCTTGAGTTTGATCCCCTGGACCCACATGGTGAAAGGAGAGAACCAACTCTTAACAAATTGTCCCCTCACCTCAAATGTGCACGGTTGCACGTGTGCACCAACACATACATCTGCACATACACAGCAGGCAAATAAATGGAACAATGTGTTCTTCTTACAGTTGGGTTAGGGCTGAGGATATAGCTCAGTTGTTAGAGTACCTGCCTGGCATGCATGAGGCCCTGAGTTTATTCCCAGCATAAACTGGGTATGGTGGTGGAACCTGTAATCTTAGAGCTTGGGAAGTGGAGGTAGGAAGAGAATAAGTTCAAAGCCAGCTTGATCTACACAAAACTTTATCTTAGTTATATATATATATATAAAATTTTATAGATATTAGTATTATAGTATTAAAATAGCTATAAAATTATTGGATAACTACTACAGTTTTGTAATCTTAAATCATTTTATTTCTAAACTCTCAGGAGTTTGAGCATGTCATATTCTTTCCATTTTCTTTTTAAATTGTGTGTCTGTGTGAGTATCTGTATGTGGTCAGGTATACCTGAGTGCAGGTGCCCATCAAAACTAGAAGCATTTGATCTCCTTGGTGCTGATGTGAGTGCTGGGAACTGTACTCAGGTCTCCTGAGAAAGTAGTAATGTTCTATACTACCAAGTCCCCTCTCCAGCCCCTTGTTTATTTGTTTGTTTGTTTTTGATAATTAGGAAAATTCATTATAGTATAAAGTTTTTTAATCAATTTCACATTAATGAGGTTACATTCTTGTATTTGTATTCTGACAAGAAACTATAGGATGTAGTTTCTTTTGTAAATTCTGTGACTGAATGTGTGTCTCCTATAAACCACACTTCACTTATGTTAGATATGGACATTGCAGTGGCCTTTGAAAAAGATGCAAGACGGCCAGCCACACAGACAGAGTAACTGATGAGGAATACTGCATGCAGCCATGCAGACAGAGTAACTGATGAAGAATACTGTATGCAGCCATACAGACGGAGTAACTGATGAAGAATACTGCATGCAGCCATGCAGATGGAGTAACTGATGAGGAATACTGCATGCAGCCATGCAGATGGAGTAACTGATGAGGAATACTGCATGCAGCCATACAGATGGAGTAACTGATGAGGAATACTGCATGCAGCCATGCAGACAGAGTAACTGATGAAGAACACTGTATGTAGCCATGCAGATGGAGTATCTGATGAGGAATACTTCATGACTGGGATATTGAAAGATGTATTCTCAAAGAATTAGGGCACAGTAATAGATCTTTGGGTATTCTTACTGTGGTGTGAATATAGTGTTTATTAGGTTTTGTAATTCAATTAAAGTCTCTTTACATTAGTACAGCATTTCATGAAAGAAATAAAAGAAGGATGGAAACAGAAGGAGAGAATTTATGAGAAATGTAAACATTGTATTTAGATGCAATTGGATTTAGATTTTCCTGGTTTATGTTAGCACTAGAGATTCCCTTTCCCTGTAATAAATGAATGCTCCAGAGACAAGAGCTGTGCAGTTGACCCTCTGAATTACTGGTCCTAAAGATCTCCAATAACACTGTCTTCTAAGGAATGTGTCTTTCTTGCACCTGTAATGTAAGTATTCCAGGGATGTCTATGTTTATGAAGTGACATGAAGCCATTTCCAGGCACCTCCTGGTTCAGGCTACCCAGCACTTTTGTATAATTATAGCTGCCACTTCTTGGTGTGAGTCAGGGAGAGGCACAGCTTTGAGAGTCCTGTGTTACTCACTCTAGCCAGCAACCCAAGAGGACTTTAATTAAGCCTGGTCCTTCCTGGAGTGGTCAATTACACACTGGGGAAAATGCCAAGCCCGATCTGCTGCTATATCAAGTTTCACCTGCCATTTCCTTTATCAGTGGTTTTTTTCCTATTTGTTTTATATGAATGTAGAACATAGAAATGTTTGACTAGCTGGTGTTTCTGTTTAGTAATGCATTACACACACATACACACACATGTACACATACACACAATGACGGAATGTGTTCAGATTGTGTAAGCAGGTGTACCTAAATAAGAATAAATTTCATTTAGAGGACATTAGTACAATTACATGTATATAGTTCAGATCATCAAGGGTGGCATCCAAATATCAGTACAAGTGACATTTGCAACTTAAGACAGAAAAACTCTGATTTCGATCATTACGTAGAAAGGGCATCATTCTGCAGATAACAATTGCTAACTAAAGCCCTTGCATACCATGATACCTCATATAAAGGCTCTTTATTTTATCAATTGCACATTACATCCAAACAACTTTATTGTTAAATGGCTGTAAGGTTTTGGGGACAGTATTTTACATGTAGCTTGTATTGAAGTTATGGATTTATCCCTGTGACCCATCATCCTGACAACATGGCAAAGGAGATACTGAAACCTTTTGCGCCTTTATGCTTCCAAGAAACAGGCAGCACCATGGGCTATAGCATGGTGTTAGAAAGGTGGCTATGTTGAAAGGAAGGTTGAGCTTTCAGTTCCTTTTTTATACCCAAGTTCTAGAGTGAATGTAAATTTCCAGTGTAATAAAAAGGTTTTCTCAATTACTGCTACTAGATTGCAATCAAATACATCTGTCACATGAGAATTCTTTTCATAGCAACGTCTTGGCTTTGAAATCCTAGGGGACAATTGGGCATTGATTGCTAACCTGGCCCTAAGGCTAAGTTTCAAGCTCTTTGGGTGCCCAGTGCCTCAGCTGGGTTGACCTCCATGGTACAGATAGTTTAATTCTGTTTAGAAAATGTGATTCCTATTTCTAGTTATTCCTCAACCATAAATAAGGCCCTGTCTTAGTTTGGTTACCATTGGTGTGATTTTAAAAAATACCCTGATTCAAGGCAATGTAGGGAGAAGGTGCTATCTTAACTCACAGTTCTAGATTATAGTCCCTCATTGTGGGGAAGTCAAGGCAGGAACCTAAATGAATTAGTGACACTACAGTCAAATCAGCAGAGAGAGAAGGGATGCACGCATGCCCAGTGCTCAGCCACCTTTGTCTACTCCTACACAGTCCAGCACCCCAAGCCAGGCAATGGGGCTTCCTCATTCAGTCTGGGTCCTCCTACAGCAGGAAAGACAGTCAAGACAATCTTCCAGGGATTTGTCTACAGGCCAACCTGATCTAGGCGATCCCTCATTCACACCCTCTTCTCGGGGGATTCTAGGTCATTTCAAGCTGACAATTAAAACTCACCCTCGCAGACCTCTGACTGCACAATTCCCAGAAAGCTTTCTTTGCTCCTGTAGCTTCAATAACTCAACGTACCAGTGGGGCTCAAAATGGAGTGGTGTGGATGGTGCTGGACTCTGAACAGTTTGTTGTCCATCCATGTAACAGTGAGCACAGAACTAACAAAAAACTCTGAAACGTTGATTGAGTGTTTTTATTCCTATTAAATTTAACAGTCCAATCTTGGGATTGTATTTTATGGCATCTTTTCCAAAGAATAGACTTGTATTGTATTTTATAAATTAGTTGGTGCTCATGACCTGAACCCCTCACCCCTTTAAAAATGGGTTGCAATAATAACCATGTGGAAACCATGTAAGGGAGAAAATTTTTTAACGCTTTAAATCAAAACATATGTTTGGACCTGAAATTGATTTGCTAAGATGGCAGGAATGAGTATGCAAAAATCTGATCCTGGAATTTAGGAATTCCTCTAGGACAGGACAGGGCAAAGCCCCACTTCTTGCCCAAATAGAAAAATAATGGCTTTTCTCCAATAATGTTTCCAGGCCTGAGAGGATACAGGGAACCAAGCGGCTTTCCCCTGAAGACGTGGAGTCCATGCGGGACATTCTGACAAGAAACATGTACCAAGTTCGACAAAGAGTATGTGCGAGCCCTCTGGGCTGCCCTTTGCCCTGCCCTGCCTTGCGCTGCTCCCGCCAGGTCTTCAGGAGGCTGGTCTTGCTCACAGTGTTCTCTCAAGTAGCTGCTCTGCTGGGTTTGGGGGACAGAAAGCTAGTGGTCAGCTGCCAGGTTGGCACCAGTGGCCTAAGAAAAAAAATGCAAATCCAATAGCTGGCTCTAGGGGTCAGGCTGTCCCAGCCCTGCAGCCAAAGCTTCCAGAACCCACAGGTCTCTATCCTCAAAGGAAAGACAGAGGCAGCCATCCTCCTGTAGTGTAAGAAAAACATGGCACCAGGATGCTGATGGACCTCCAGTTGTCCACTGGGGTCGACTATGATGAAAGTCAACAAACAGCACTCATTGGGTTAGAACTATGAAGTTACAATACAGAAAAGCCAGAATAAAAAGAAATACTGGCGTCTTGGTCTGGAAATTGGTCTGGACTCTTTCGTCATTAGTGTTTAGCAAAGGGTCCTTCAGAGACTCTGAGCTAATGACAGTTTAATCAGTGTCATCCCCGCAGAAGCCTTTTCAAGTTTGATGACTCGTTTGTCTGTCCTATTTCTTGGCTATGATTAAATACGTCTCTCATGAGGATATTTGTTTTGGGTAATGACACAGATTACGCTTTTGATGGGATCAAGAAAACGTCTAGTCAAAGCTCTTCATTTTCTAGTAGCTGTTGGCATTAGCAAACTTGATGGTTGGATTTATTCAAGGTCATAAAGTAAATGTAAGTTAAGAGTTCTCTGCTGAGCACCTATCCAATGTTCTAAGACTCCAGACTTAAACAGCCAGTGAAGGTCTGTGGTCTCCTCTGCAGTTCTGGGTCAGAAAGGTTGATGATTAAGGAGCTTATGTCAGAAAAAGAAAAGGCTGAAGGAATATAGCTCAGCTCTGTGATAGTGTTCTTAGGGTAACTTTCATGACTTTCAAATCATTCCAAGTGAAACTATTCCAGTAAGGCGATCAGTTTTCACCTTCACTTAGTAGATAAGAACTTCCTGGTGGGAAGAGTGGCTAGCTTAGGGAGAGCCAGGCCCACTGAATACCTGGCACTCAGTGTTTTCCCATCTTAATGATGCAGGGAAGGAGGTTGGGGTCCTGAAACTCCGATACATTCTGAAATGGTCCATTGCCCACATTCTCCATTCTCTTTTATTCCCTAGATGTAGATGCCCAGATAAGCACTTTGTTCTTTCATCTGGTCTTCAGCGTTCTCTCTTCTGAACTATGCAGCATCTCTCTTCCTTCCTCATTTTCTTTCCACATTTGAGTATGTTGGCCACTTTTCTTTAAAGGATTTCTTGCTAAGCATCAAGTGGGATCAAATCAGAGTTGGATCAATGAACTGAGTGCAGTGATAAGTTGCAGGGACATTTTTTTTTTTTGCCTCCACTTGTAGTTCATTGAAAATAAGGCTCACCAGTCCCCATTCCCTAGTATTCTAGTCAGATAAACACCATGACCAAAAGCAACTCGGAAGGACGGGGGTTGTTTGTCTTACTCTTCCCAATCACGGTCCATTACTGAGGGATGTCAGGGCAAGAACTAAGAGAAGCAGAGGTAGGAACCATGAAGGAGTGCTGCTTCCGGGCTTATTCCCTTGGCTTCCACGGCTTGCTTTCTAATACCACCCAGGACCACCTGTTCAGGGATGGCACCACCCACAGGGGGCTGGGCTCCTCCTACATCAATCATTAATCAAGAAAATGCCCACAAACATTTGATTCCAGGCAATATGATAAATGCAGTCCCTCAACTAAGATTTCTTCTTTCCAGATATCTCCAATTTGTATCAAGTTAACAAAACAAACAAAACAAAACAAACAAACAAAACCCACCTGTTTTTCCACCACCTCTAGTATTTCTATGGTTAAAAAAGTCTTCTACTACTCTTTCAAAGGAAAATCACTCCTGGAAATGCCACCCTGAACAATTGAACATCCACTGCTTATAGTGGACAGTCTACAGTTTGAAGGATTGATGCAAAGCTTATATAGAAGCCATCTGCTGTCCTCAAGTCTGGACAAGAGGTGCAGGACTGATGGTTGGAGATATTTATCACTGCATATTCTAGAAGAGTCTGTCTTGGGACTTAGCAATCACTTTGGGGCAGGGCCAGGCAGAGTATAGGGTCAGATTCTGGATGGTCCTAAGTTACAGTTGATATGAAATTGAGCTGGTCCACTGGGACTCTGGACACAACTTTTTGAAATACTTCCTCTTAGCATGTTCAGGATAGACTCTACATGGGTAGGGAGGTGAAGGACTAGCTTCTGGAGGTTTCCAGTGCCCAAAATGCAGAGAAAACTCTGTACAACACAGTGGGATGGAGACACGAGACACATCCCAAGCTTATCAGAAAATACACCTCAGTTCAGGCTCTATTACTCTCAATGTTTCTAAGTACTTCCAAAGGAAGAGAGAAGTATATTTAACTGTGTTCTGTGCTGCTAATGATGTACATACATCAAGCATGTGCAAGGTTTAGGAACATTGTGAAGCCTTCTTTCTCCAGCAGAACTCAAGGTTTAGTGAGAATAAGCAGGCTTTCTCCAGACACTGATTCCTTCTCAAGCAGACGGAAAAGGAAGAAAGAGAGAGAAGACACTAGCATAGGACATTGTATGTGTAGAAACACCTGAGCTTGCCTTGTAGGATTGTGCTGTCTCCTGTGCAGAAGGCCAAATAGACATGGACAATGGTTTATCAGAGAAAATAGAAGCCTGGCTGTACAAATGTGACTTAAAGCCTCCTAGGCAATGGTGTAAGAATATATAAATAAACGTATTAAATGTACTTAGGTTAGACTCGTCTTTATATAAGATGGGCAAGAACTTTACATCAAACTGTATCTATAGTTATTTTCCCCAAAAATTATCAGAGCAGTAGACTTGTCCAAAGCAGTGGATAAGGAGCCTCTAGGTAGAGCAGAGTCATGTGCTGCCTAATTCTTCTTTGGCCTGGAGAACTCCTTCTTGGTAACTCTTTGTTTTAGGAAGATTGAGTTCATTAATAAATAGATAGTGAAAACCACCTCTCTGTGACCTGGGTGTCCAGTAGAGCATAGTAAAGTGAAATCCATTGAAACACACAAAGTCATAGCTCTCTTTTAGGAATACCCCCTCTATTTAGGCAGGAAACTGACTATCTCACCTCTGGGTGGGTATGAACCTGGCTCATTACGAACCCCTATATTATATACCACAAAACTAATTTCTTCTGCAGTGTTTGATAAGAAACAATAGAATGGGAGTATGTATGCCTATTTCTACTTCTTATCCCTAGGGATAAGTATGTTTCCCCAGCAGACATCTGGCTGGAAGACAGGGTCTTCACTCCTGGAAAGTGGGTGTGGTCTGTCATCAGCTCTCCTTGCTCATGCTCACTGTCTTTGAAGGCTGCGTTTCAGTCACACGATAAGAAAGTCACTGGTGGATTTTCCCCCGTGGTCCTCCCTACCGTCCCTTCAAGCTGGTTAGCCATCCCGACCTTAGTCCTCCCACCCCTTCCATCTACACTTGCTCCAGGAGAGTACCCATGAGGTGCTGCAGGCTCCACTCAGTGCAGGAAGCCTGCTCCAGCCAAGCCTGGGTACGTGCCCTACTCCACACCTCCCAGATGATCCTAACAGTTTGTCTCACCTGAACGTACAAGCCAAAAACCTTGGTTAACTTGACTCTCCCAGATGGCTGTAGGCGTTTAGAAGACCTGAACTGACATTGTTTATTTTTAATCCCATGCTTGCTACAGCACCTAGTAGAATATTCATTTTTTTGTTATTGAATTGATTATCCTTTTTAAAGAAGCCACAATCCAGTAAGGATGGTACAGGCAGCTGTGACCGTCTTACCCAACATTGCTTTGCAGTGTATCCGCACACACAGTGTGTCACCTACCGACAGCAGGCAGTCTGGCATTCACTGAACTTGGAGTGAGCGGCTGTGGGGACAAGAAGCTCCACTTAAGCATCTTTCAGACACACATTTATGAATAGATGATGGCCTGCGGTCAATGACAGATTTCTACCGGTTTGAGGTCAAGGCAAGGAGGAAAAGTACTTTAAAGCTCAGTGGGTCCAGTTTGTCAAGATGTTCCTTCCTTGGCTCTGTTCTTTAAATGAAGCCTCTTCCTTTTTGAATTGATGAGACTCAGTTT